GGGGGGGCAGACTGATGAGACCTACTGGAAATGAAAGGGGACTTTGTGCATTGCCACTGAGACTAGACTTAGACAAGGAATTTCTTTTCCCGTCACTAAAGTCTGAACCCGGGCTGGGGATTTAGCTCAGTGGTTCCACCGCCTGTCTCCCAAGCGCAAGGTCCTGAGTTCGATCCCCGGTACCAAAAAAACAAACAAAAGTCCGAACCCAAACAGGAACCAGTTACATTGAGGGAAAGGACAGAGGCGACAATAATCTGGCTCGACTGTCTGATACAGAGAAGTGGAAGTTTACATGGGAGAAACGTTTGGTGATCACATAAAGATTGATGATTAGAGCTTAAGTCATTTGTAGAGAAAGCAGATTTTCCAAGCCGCCTCTGGGCAGTTGCCAGTGCAATGTATGTTTGTGGCTCCAGTATCAGATCCATTAACATGTGTTTGTCTCTGGTCTGAGCAGCAATCTGGTAGGGTTTGTTAGCAGAGGTTTAGTATTGGACAGCCTACTGGACTTGAGTCTGCTTGAAGATGGTCTGGTATTTGCGTGTTTGATTTTTTGACCCCATTGTCCTTGCCCTAATTTAGTGTCAATAGGGTCATTCCTTGAACATGGCTGTAGAATATACTGGCCTTTTGCTGTATTCTATGCAATACATTCTACCAAATGTAGTGGTTTGGAGGTTTGCAGATTTTTTTTTTTTCTTACCAAGGAGTTTCTTAAAAAGGCATTAACTTTTTGTTTTTGTCTTTTGATGTTGTTGCTGTTTGGTACCGGGGATGGAATCAAACTCAGGACCTGGTGCTTTCGAGGCAGGTGCAGTGCCCCTGAACTAAATCCCCGGTCCCCGTTGCTTTTTGAGACAGGGTCTCGCTATGTAGCCAAGGCTGGCCTCAAACTAGGAGCAGTCCTCTTGCTTCAGCCTTCTGAGGGCTGAGATTATAAACACGCACCACCATCCACAGCACTAAGAGACCATCAGCTTTAAATCTGTCATCAGAACTTACATTATTTTTCCACTTTGCAAATGTTTAACTCCCATTGCTTCAAACATGCATTGCAATAACATTTTCAGGGTATGTCAGCATGTGCTTAGTTTTTATAACAGTATAGTCAATCACAATGATTAACAGTTCAAAAGTTTAGTGTACTATAAAACACACTAAAACATGTTGTATGAGTTTTCGGTAATTATGTTATTAGTTACACATCCCTGTAATCCCAGTACTCTGGGAGGCTGAGGAGGGAGGATAGCAAATTTGAGCTCAGTGACTTAGCTTAGACCATTTTAGGTCAGGGATTTAGCTCAGTGGCACACCTGCCTTGCAAGCACAAAGTCCTGAGTTCGATCCCTGGTACCCCCCAAAAAGACCCTGTTTCAAACAATTAAACAGCTCTTTTTAAAGGGCTAGTAGCATGTAGCTCTATGTAAAAGCCCTAGGTTCAACTTCCAGTATGTTGTTGCTTTTTGTTTTTAAGGCCAAAGATGATTTCACAGGATTATTTTGTTTCCCATCAGTCTAATGTGATCCTTAATAAACATTGACTTGCCAAATGAAATGTCTTTTCTTTTTTTTTAAACAGTTTCACTATGGAGTTCAGGCTGGCCTTGAACCCACCACATAGCCCAGACTGGCCTCATACTTGCAGTGATCCTCCTGCCTCCTGAGTGCTGGGATTACACATATGTGCCACCACAGCCAGCTAAGCCTGGTCTCTGATTCTTACTCTTGGTCTGATCACAAGGATAAGCTACGGATAAAATCTGAGTAGTCTTTTTTTTTTGCAGTGGGCAGTGGAACCTAGGGCATCTTGTGAGCCAGGCAAGTGTTCAACCACCGCACTACATCCCCATCTTACTTCCTTTACCTGCTTTGCTCTCAGGTATTGTAAACTCCCCCTTGCTCCAAGCCCAGCCCTCTTCTGACTCCATCCCACCCTTCATCCCTCTCTCCTGGCCTTACCCACAATCCACAACTCCTAGCTCCTTTGCTTGGGTAAGTTTACTAGGAGCCAGTGATTTTACAGGCTCTCATTTAATCCCTTCAGCCCTCTGAGGGAGGTCCTACTATTATCCCTCGGTTTACAGATAGATAAACAAGGAATGAGGTCATTTACCTGAGGTCACAGGCAAAGCCAGAGCTCAAGGCTGGGCCTGCCCACTACCGAGTCTAAGTGAACAGTAAGTCTCCCGCCTCTTTGGATGCCTGAGACCCTAGGATCTACATCACACTGATAGCCCAGCAGCCTACTTACTGTACATGGCCTGTGGAGCCAGCACTCACCCGCCTTCTCTCACCTGGCAGCACTTGTCATTCCAAATTCCCAGTGTTGCTATTTTGACCACTGTCACTTATCACATACACTTCTACGAGGACCCCAGCTCCTCTCCTTGTGCCAACCCAGCTTCCTCCAATTCACTTGCTAGAAAGGAGGCTGCCAACCCTTCCACTGTGCATACCCATCAATAAAAATCGCTCATCTGCCCAGGCCTGGTGGCACATACTGGAAATCCCAGGATTCTGGGAGCCTGAGGCAGAAGGGTCGCAAGATCAAGCCCAGCCTTGGCAATTTATTGACTTAGTAAGAACTTGTCTCAAAATTTTAAAGGGCCCTGGGTTCAGTCTCCAGTACTAGAGAAAAAAAAAAATTCACTTCACATTCTCAATACAAGGATGTTTTCTTCAAAATAAAATAAGCAAACATTGACATCAGCTGACACTTCAAAGCACAGGGTCGTTAAGCAAAGCTCATCATTAGTGAGCAACGAAGGAAATTTTTGTTTTGTTTTGTTTTGGTACCAGGGTTCAAACTCGGGACCTGGTGCTTGTGAGGCAGGTGGTGGCACCACAGAGCTAAATCCCAGCCCAGGAAATCTATGTTTTAAGAGCCTTCGCAGTTTAAAAAAAAGAAACAAGCTGTCTTATATACAAGCCTGTACAGGAAATATATACTAAAAAAAATGCCTTCATCGTGTTTTCAACTTTTTTTTGAAATGAGGTCTTGCTATGTTGCCCAGGCTGGTCTCAAACTCCTGGGCTCACAAAATCCTCCTGCCTTCGTCTCCTGAGTAGCTGGCACTATAGGTGTGGGTCACTGTGCCCACTCCTTTTCAAAGTTCTTGTTCAGTCTGATCAGCCAGATAACTGCTATAGCTCTAAAGCACCTGGGAGCCCTGAAAGCCAGCTCCACTGCAGTCTTCTGACCCGTGGTGCCTGCTTTATCACTGATATCTTCAACTTGGTCTCAGGGCAGGAAAGTTCTTGTTATGTTTGTTAGTTTACTCACTGGATAAAATAAGCTGTCCACCCCTTTAAATTCAGTGAAATCCCACGCAAATCTAAATGCTTGGGCAGGGGGTTATCTAGCTCAAGATGGTTCACCTTTGCCCTTTAGTCTCAAAGACAGAAGGTGCACTCACGTTCAGACACAAATAAGCAGTCTGCCCTGATTCAAATGCTTAAAAAGCTGATTCTGAGCACTACTCGGGCCACGGAGACAGACACAGTGGAAGGCAAGGCCTCGCTATGACTTTGTGTTTATCTGGACAGTTCTTTCACAGGTGAAAAATTAAAATTCCTTGGACCAGTCCAGTGACGAGGTAATAAGGTGTTTATTAAAAACTCTGTTTCATCCAGAGACAGTTAAAATTTATAATTTAAAACCCAGCCCACTACAAAAAGGGGGGGGGGTAAAAACTGTGCAACATTGACAAAGGACTGAGACAGACAAGGCCCAGGAGGGGCATCCCCAGGGCAAGTCTCTCCTCTCCAGAAGCCAGGAGCAGCAGCAGAGTGGAGCCCTGGGGCACACAGCCACTGGCCTGGCCCAGCTCTTGGGCCTCTCCAGCTGGGGCAAGCCTGGAAGGGCCCTCAGTAGTGTTCGCTGCGCAGCCTGGATGTCCATGCTGCTCACTCTGCTACGTGAGGTCAAGAAGGGACAGCAACTCAGGACCGTCCTGGGTAGGATGGAGCACCTCAGTCACTTGCCCTGCACCCTGACACGGTGGTTTCCAGCACATCTGGGCACGTATCAGGGCTGGGATGGGCCCTAAGGCCTGTAGGGGGGTGCCAGGACTCTGCCACCTACCCTCCCAGGGCAGCAAGCCCAACCCGGCTGAGCCCCAGAGTCCTACCTCCCCCATTGCTGAGGCCACATCCCACAGCCACCTGGTGAGAACGCCAGTTGCCATAGCTCCTGTGGTTGCAAAGACAGGGAGTCACCGTCCACGGGGACCCTCGCCCTCAGCGCTCTCCAGACGCCCTGTCAGCCCTCATCGACTTACCCTCGGTCCCCCTCCAGCGTGCTCTGGATCTCCTTCAGGACTCCTGCAGGCAGCAGAGGCCCGGTTAGGTGGGCAGGGGCCGGGCCAGCCACCAGCCCTTCCCTCCCTTTTACCAACGCGTGCTGGGCCTCCCGTCTCCCTTCTCAGGGTTCGACCCTGGCCTTGTAAGCTCCGCCCTGACACCAACCTCACCTACTCCCACCCTGACTCACGCTCGTCATTGAGCAGTGCGTGCTCCATCACTGGGCCAGGCTTCTTCTCTGGAAGGCAGAGGCCAGGTCAGGCGAGGCCCTGGCTATGAGGAATGCTGTTTCTACTCCCAAACCGAACTGGCCCTGCTCACCTGAGGCCCCTTCCCTCCCTTCCAAGGGTGGCCCAGGTGTGCCCCAGGCAGTGGCTCCGAGGGGCCTATCTTACCCTCTCCATCACTCTGGCTTCCCGAGTTCCTGTGGGGAAAGAGATAATGAGGGCCTAGAGGACGGGGAGGTCAAGTGTCCTGGCCTGCCCTGAGCGGGGAGTCTGGGGAGTGCCCTGAACTCTGCCAAGGACCCATGGGGTGTATGCGGGGTAGACCCTGAGGGCAGGGGGCTTCCGCCAGTCAGCAGCGGCACTTAGGGAATCTCACCAAGGGCAGAGGCGGGAGAGGCTGTGGAAAGGCCTCCTGTTCTCTACCTACCTGGCTCTGCCCACAGCCTTCTCAGGGCCCATGCTGTTGCCATTGCTTGGGCAACTGTGGTTCCTGGTTTTGGATGAATCCACCAGACACCGTGGCTCTACCAGCCACTTGGTGGAAAGAGAAAAGCGCTCGAACTCTGAGGGTGAAATCAGGTAGAAACCTGGGGACGGAGGGGAAGCCCGGCAGGTAAGGCTGTGGCTGTGGAGGGGTCTTCTCTCCTAGGAGAGAAGGGGTGCAGCCCCCATCCCAAGGCCAGCCAGCCTGGCAGCGGCTGCCACACCCTGGCTGAGCCCCTCACCCATCTGGACCTGCTCAGAGGCCCAAGGACAGCTGCATACCTTGGCCATATTTGGTGAAGACACAGGAGGCGATGCCACTGACGTCCTCCCGACGAATGCAGCTATATCGAACCTGGGGCTTGAGCAGGGGCAGCGAGACCACCTGAATGTCGCCCAGGTTGGTGAGAACTGCCAGGTGGTGCTCCCCATAGTCTTCGACCCGACAGCTGCCGAAGTGGGCCACGCCGACCCGCCGCACCCTCGAGCCCTCCAGGGCCGTCAGCTTCAGCTTCAGCTTGGCACTCACCTTGGGCAGTGTGAACACCTGGGGGCACAGGGTGCCCGGTGATGCCACCACGCACTGGGCCCCTGCCCTCCGGAGCCCTGCCGGGTCTCAGTGCCCCCAGCCCCTGGATGCTTAGACACTGCACTTGGGCTGCGAGGACTTGAGGCCACTAACTGCCACATCTGGATAGTCTGTCCCTTCCACAGTCACAGGTTCTGCCTCACTGTTCCTACCTCTGACCCCGAGGCTCAGGGACTCAGCACAAGACTACTCCACTTCCTTCCTGCGCCTCGGTAGCCCTTCTGACACCGAGTCTCAGCCATCATCATTTGTGCCCAGGAGCCAAACTCAGCGAGCATCCCAGAAACCCTGCTCCCATCCATGTGACACCTTGAATTGCTCCTCTGACACCACAAGCAGCTGGTGGCTTCCCTGCATGTCTGGGCTCTTCGACAGGTCGTGGGCCACTTCCAGGGGCTCAGGAAGGGGTACGCTGTGTCCGTCGAGCACCAGGATGCCCACCACAGGTGCTCTGTGCATCAGCTGGATCTCCTTGGCTACAGGAAGGCAGCAGGAGGGGGCTGTGGCAGGCGACCAAGCTTGAGACACCAGGCAGATCAAGCACCCTCTGCTCACCCCATCCAGCACTTACCCTGTTCCGCCCACACCGGCTCGTCCATTCTCCGCTCAGCTGGGGGCACACGCAGGGAGAAGGCATAGACAGTGCCTCCATTGGTGCCAGCCCACAGTGAGGGGCAGTGGCGGGAGCCTGCCAAGAGGCAAAGGCTTGGTATCTAATTCCTTGGCTCTTGGAGCCAGGTGGGGTTGGACAACCTGGGTTCCCATCCCACCCTTGCCACTCCAAAGCCAACTCAACAAACCTAAATCTTTAAGTCTCAGTTTCTGCCTCTTTCAAATGGACATGCTGTGGGGCCTGCCTGCTTCCCAGGAAGGGTGGCAAAACTCTGGCAGCTACACAGAGTCCCAAAAACAGATGCTTCTCAATCTAGGACCGCTCAGTCATGGCTGCCAAACAGCCGGGGACACACCCACCCGACGGGAGAAATGGCCTCGGAGGGACACTTCCACAAGTGTGCCGCCACCATGTCAGCCTGAACCCTCACGGCCACTCTAGGGGGAAAACATCATCTCCCCATTTCACAGAGCGGGAAGCTGAGGCTCAGAAAGATGAAGTGATGTGTCCAAGGCCATGTTTCCAGACAGTGAGAGCATGGACATGAAGCCAGACGGGAGAAGGACAGAGGCAGATGGGGGTTCTGATCTGCCCCTGCTCACAAGGGGGAAACCTTTTTAGAGTTCCAGGCAGGCAGTAGCCCCTATGTGCCCTCAGGCAGGGATGCCACATGCCAGAGGTGTCCATTACATCCCCAACCTCAGACTGGCCACTCACTGTCCCTCAGGTAGGTGTCAGCGAAGTACAGGGTCCGGACAAAGCCCGTGAAGGAGTCCTCAGCTGAGCGGGCCTCAATCTTGCGCTGCACCGGTGCCAGCTCCATGTTCTGCAGGCCTGTCCGCTCTGCCTTGGTGATGCCTGCTGTCTGCATCTGCAGTGAGTTGGGCTGGGCCTAAGGCTAGGTTCAGGCCACCCCTCCCCAAGGGCACTGGCTGCTTCACTGCCAATCCTTCCAGGGAAGGCTGGCCTGGGTTCAAGAGGACCATGTCCAAGTGGGAGGAGCCCTGGTGGGAAGCCTCCCTACCCTCCCACAGAAAGCAGCAGAAGAACAAGAAGAAAATCACTAGTGTTTCCTGGGGACTCACATCTAAGGTTAGTATTACAACTTATCTTTTGTACTTAGGGAAATGGAGGCAAAAAAGCAAAGGTCACACAGTGGGTGGTGAACTATTCAGGGCCTATACTTGTAGGCCAGTGAGCCCAGCGAGAGTTGGGTGGTCCTGCTGGTGGCTGTTTTAGGCTTGGCCTGGGCTGAAGGCCAGCCTTGGGCCTCACCTCTCCTGGGGCACCAGCTGGCCGGCACTTCCGACTAGACACTCTGCTGTGGCGCATCCGGCGGAAGGACTGACGCAGGGACTTCTTGAGGGACTTTACTCGGGACAGCGGGCCTTCTAAGGCTAGCTGGTCACTGGGGTGCAGTGTGCACCTGGAGGGATAGCAGCCCATTAGTGCTGCCAGGGCAGAGGGGTCCTCACGAGACCCCAGCCTCACACCCTGGCCCCAATTATCTTGCTCACTTAACAAAGACCTGCCGCCTCTGATGGTGATCAAAGAGGCCAAAGCCATGGCTGGTGCCAAACGCCACAAGCCTCCACTCAGAGTGCAGGGCCAAGGAGGTGACCACAGCCGGGGGCTGGCACTGCACCAACACGAAGGGCTGGAAGCCGGGCTCAAAGCACACAGCCCCTGAGCGGGCAGCCAGGCGCTCATGCCCCTTCCAGCGGTAGCCTTCTTGGTCCTGCAGCAGGTCCACCTCCACCTCCTCCACAGTGTGCTCTGCCGCCTCATCATTCAGCTCCAGCACCAGCACCTAGTGGGGGGAGGGTGTCAGAAACAGGGGGCTCAGCAAATTTCAGACACTAGACCTGAGACCCAACAAAAGACCTGGGACCCAAGCCAAGGCCCAGGACCCAAGCAGAGAATTTGTTCTGATTTCTGGAGGAGAAACAACCTTCGTGGGGGCCGCCCTCTACTGGAATCAACTGGCCTCCATTTGCTGGGAAGAGCAGAGTGATAGAAACTGCTCTGGTGACAGTTCCAGCAGGTGCTTAGAGGCTGGTTCCTGTCCCCGCCATCCCCAGTCCTGAGAAGGAAGCTCCTGGGCCTGGATGCTGCCTCCAAATCCCCCAACCACTGTCCTCTCGCCCCCTACCCTGCCCAGCCTGCTACCTGTCCTGCCGTGCCTGCTACAGCCAGGTAGCCGCTGTACTTGCAGAGGAAGATCTTCTGGATGCCCAGCCGGGGATCGTCACTATAGGGGTCAAAGGAGCCCACCTGAAAAGGGAGAGGGCCCTATGAGTGGTCCTGAGCCAGCTCCAGGCTGTCCACCCCCCACCCCCACCCTGTTTCCTGGCTTCGGGCCTCACCTTTCGGAGAGGGGGCCACTCCTCCTCGCCCTGGGCATTGAGGCTCTCGCTGGCATCCGTGTCAGTGAGGAACACACGCACCGTGCTGAGTCTGAACAGCAGCCGCAAGCAAACACCCGAGGCATCCCAGAAGCGTACCGTGCCATCCTCGTGCCTGTGGGTACAGCCCACCTATGCCCACCAGAGCACTGCCGGCTGGGTACCCAGGGGACTGGACACACACCTCAAGGCTCTGCTCCCACCCCCTTGTCCACCTGGGAAGAGGAACAGCAGTATCAAAGTCACCTACCCTGTAAGCAGCAGGTCCCTCTGGGGTGGGGGAGGGGCCAGAGTGGTGCCACCATCAATGGGCCACTTCTGGAGAAGGAGACAAGAAGTCTTGGAGAACCTGGCTCCATGGTGGGCTGGAGCTGGGGCTGGCGCTGGGGCTAGACCTACCATGGCGGAGAAGTGTGCATTCTGCCGGCTGCCTGCAGCGATGATGCGCTCCCACAGCTTCAGGGGGATGTTGGACACGTGGTGGGAGCAGGTGATGGCTGAGCAGTGCAGGGAAGCCAGGTAGGGTGGCTGGACTTGGGGCCAGCCTGCCGTCTGCAGGTCAATCACCACTAGCTCCTCCTCAGCCAGCACCACCAGGGCGTAGGGGTTGTCAAAAGCTGAGGCACAGCCCAAGGGTCAGACCCGGGAGGAGCCAGTTTGCCCTAGTCCGGCCCTGCAGAATCAGAGCTCCAAGGAGGGAGCCTGGGCATCTGCACACTCCAAAAGCCCCATTCTTGGCTACTTCAGCAAAATCTTTCACCTGGAGTCTGGGCTCCAGACAGGGCCAGAAGGCAGAGTCCCCACCAGGAAATGGCCAGCTGAATCCTGCCTGACCCTCTTCCCTGGTTCCTATTCTCCATGCCCAGCCCTGGCTGGGATGCAGCTACTGATGCTGTCTGTCCCTGCAGGCAGCAGCAAGCAGGGTGCTCAGCACCCCAGCGGCTGGGGTGGTGTGATCACACCACGGGACACACGGCCTCACTCAGGCCTGGCCATGGTTGGTGCTCGATAGAGGTGAGCTGAAACCTGGCTTCCAGTGCCCTTTCTCTTTGTTTCATTTTGTTTTTTTGTTTTTTTGGTACTGGGGATCGAACTTGGGAGCTTGTGCTTGCAAGGCAGGCGCCGGAACCACTGAGCTAAATCTCTGGCCCTTCCAGTCCCCTTTCTCTACAGGTCAAGCTGTCTCACCAGCTCCGACCTGGCCGGGGACTGGGGCCCTTATCCACCAGCCCAGGGAAGAGACCCAGCTGACATTTCTCAGGGGGAGAGGAGGAGTGAACCCAGGGCCTCCACACTGAGCTACATCCCAGCCTGACTGACCGACTGACTGACACAGGGTCTTGCTAAGTTGTTAAACTGCCCAGACTAGGCTCAAAATTGTCATCCTCCTGCCTCAGCCTTCCTGGGGGGTTGGATTATAGGCGTGTGCCACCATGCCCAGTTCCATCCCCTCTTGAATCCTCTCGATCAGGCTTTTGTCCACAGAGGAAGCTTTCTTCTAGGTGTGCCTCCATCTGTCTGGGCCTCACACCGCTGCCTGCGTTGCCTTTGCAGCACTTCTCACCCTGCTTCTCTCAGGTCTCCTGCTTCCGTGTCTGCTGCTCAGTGTTCTCTGTCAGATCCCATCAACCTCTGTGCCCCTAATGGCTTCAGAACATGTTAGGGCTCGGTTTTTGCGTGGCTGCTCTTCTGTGCTGTCTCCTTCACTGCTGGGCACCCTCATCTGCTCCCAGGGCTTTTCAGCTCCAAGAATGACTCCAAATCTCTCCTCAGAATCCAGACTCAGACCCCAAGCGTCTACTCAATACCTCATGCTCAATCCCCACCACCTGAAAGCCTGCCTCTTCCCTAGTCTTCTTCCAGCTTCCTGAGGCTCTAGCCAAATACCTCAGCTGCCCTTGGTTCCCCTCCCTTCCTTCCAGGACGTCTACCTACACAAGGGGTCCACTCTGGCCCACTGCCTGTTTGGGTCAGGAAGTTGTACTGGGACAAAGATGAGACCATGTGTTGACATACTTACTGCCTGTGGCTGCCTTGGCTCTATAATTTGCACTTGCAAATGGGGAAAACATCTGCTATCCAGACTACCTTTACAGATCTACCATCAGTCAAGGCTGAATGTCAGGGAGAATGTTCCTGACCTGCCCACTTCCCGCGGCCCTGTGCTTTTGTCCCGGCCTAAGCTACTTGGCTTCCTTCTTGGCTCTTGGGGGGGCTCCCTTCTCCACCACCACAAAATGCTCCCCATGCAGCAGCCAGCTAGATCCTTCCTTCCTTCCTTTCTTTCTTTCTGGTACCGGGGATCGAACTCGGGTCCTTGCGCTTGCGCAGCAGGTGATGAAACCACAGAGCTAAATCCCCAGTCCCTATTTATTTTTATTAATTAAAGAAATAATTTTTTTTTGGTACTGGGGATCGAACTCAGGACGTTGCTCTTGCAAGGCAGACACAGTGCCACTGAGCTAAATTCTCAGCCCCTCTTTATTTATTTTTTGAGACAGGTTCTCCTTTGTAGTTAAGGCTGGCCTTGAACTCCAGGCAATCCTCCTGCTTCAGCCTCCCAAGTGCTGGGGTTACAGGTGTGCACCACCACTCCTGGTTTAGATCCTCTTTAAACAGAGGCCAGACCATGGCACCTCTACTTGGGGCTCTCATTTCTCTCCAAATAAACCCGAAGGCCTCACTGTGCCTCTATGGCCCTATATGATCTGGAGTGTCTGGGATCATCCCCATGGTCACGCTGCCTTCCATCCCTTCCTCTGTGCATGTCTCTGTGGCCAAGGGCTCTTCCAACGCATAGTCTCTGCACCCAGTCCCTTGTGGGCCATCCCTGCCCTCTCAGTTCCTTACAGTGTCCAAGGGGCTCGATGACCACTTGTCTAAATCAGCACTGTCCCCAGCCCCACCTCTGTCTGCTCGCCTGGCCTTGCTTTTTACCTGCCTCTGACATTATCTGTGGAACTGTTCATTCGATCTCTCCACTTGAGTAAGCCTCACCAGAGCTGGGGCTTTGTTTGCTCCAGGGAGAGGACCAGGCATGTAGTAGCTGCTCACTAAACAGGAAGGTCCGCCCAGCATGGGTGCAAGGTGGAAGAATTATGTAGGAAATTCGGGGTGCCCATCCCTGGCCTGAGGGGAGCACCCCTCCTTACAACCTGTGTCCAGACCTGCTGTTACTATGAGAGATTGGGAACACAAATGGATGACCACAGGAGGATGGCTTGCCCTAGAAAATGTCATTGGTTTGATGTTTATGGTACTGGGGATTGAACTCAGTTGCACTGAGCTATATCCCTGTTCTTTTTATATCTGTTTGTTTGTTTCTTTTTTATTTAGTTAGTTTCGAAGCAGGGTCTTGCTAAGTTGTGGAGTTACCCAGGTTGGATCCGAACTTTCGAGACTCCTGCCTCAGCCTCCCAGAATGCTGGGATCACAGGCATGTACCACCATGCCCGCCTCCCATTGTTTTTTAAATTTTTTATATTTTTTTCCCCCGTTGTTTTCAAATATGTAGCTCAGCAAGATTCTCTCCTGCCTCCTCCACCCACTCAGCCGCATGGGAGCCCCAGGCTCTGTGCCCACAATGCTCTGAGTGGTTTGAGGAAGACAGCGCGAGAGCCCTGCTTTCAGCACCCAGAGGACAGAGAGGAGAGGGAGGCCAAGATAAAAGGGGACACGCGGCTGGTCAGTGGTGCACATCTGCAATCCCAGCACTCTCAGGGAGGCTGAGGCAGGAGGACTCAAGTTTGGGCAACTCAAGCAAGACCTTGTCTCAAAATTAAAAATTAAAAGAGGAGTGGGGATGTAGCTCAGTGTGAAGGCCCTGCTAC